TATATATATATATATATATATATATATATATATATATATATATATATACATATATATATATATATATATATATATACATACATACATACATACATATATATGTATATATATATATATATATATATGTATATATATATATATATTTTATATATTTTTACATATATATATATATATATATATATATATATATATATATATATATATATATATATATATATATATATATATGGGTATATATATATATTTTTTTGTTATTCACCTCCTCAAGGCCGAGAAGGCCACTACAGACGAGGAGGCTACTTAATAGTGGTTATAACCCTCTCTCAACTCTATAACTTCGAAACACGAACCTTGACGAACAAGGCCGCTGCGCGGAGAAATAAGTTGATATATATACACACATATATATATATATATATATATATATATATATATATATATATATATATATATATATGTGTGTGTATATATATCAACTTATTTCTGTATATATATATATATATATAGCCCTCATATTTTGGGTCGGCATTTGGCATTATCAATCTAACTGCTGATCTTAAAGTGTTAGAGGTCAGTTACAAATTGCCAACCTCCTTTCTATATTTTATGGTAAAACCTTTGTATTAAATTTTTTTTGTCAACCTCTAAAAGATTAAGGTCAGCAAAATTTTGCCAACCTCATTTATACCACTTCTGAATAAATCAACTTTGTCTGACTAAATGCAGTGAATGGCATAGTAAAAAAAAATTCATTTGGTGTGTGTATTTAGTATTTAGTTTCATAGTTTTTACTTGAAGATTTAAAAGCATTTTTTGTTTTTTCTGTCGTGAAGGTCGTAACCGTGATAGCAGAACAAAAAATCTAATGTTCAAAAACAACAAATAAAATGATGAAATCAATGATGTAACAACCATGTATATTATGTTAAAAAAATGCACATAGTATTATCAAAGTTCTTAATTGTAGATATACGATACAATTTTTAACGCTTCACAACAGGACTGTAAATAAGCATCAAAACATGTGGGCAATTCCATTTTTAGCGTTACAAGCGCAACAACTTTATCAAATGTTTTGTATGAAAGCTGTTAGCCTAAAGAATAAAATAAGCTAAAAAGTTTTGAGTCTAGCCAAAAGAGGGCAAACTTATTTCTGAAAATGCCACTTAACTTACGTTACACGGAAAATAAGGTAAAAAAAAATTATATACTTTTATGTTAGATTTCTTTGAATCAGTAAAGCGGTTTGTATTAAAACCTTTCACAAGATGTTAAGAAATCTATACTAATTTAAAAAATATATAAAAGTTTATCAGAGGTGACCGGTTAAGAAAAATAAACTTGTTTTTTTGATAGTATGTATTTAACTCTAATAGTCAACTTTCCAACTCGCTTTCCAGACAACCCGAATCATTTACCTTCTCTACTCGATTTATGTCTTCTTTCTGATCCAAATCAGTGCTCAGTTTCTCCACATTTCATCACCCTTAGGTGCTTCTGATCACAGTTTGATCTAAAACTATTATCTCATTCTTCTTCATCATCTGAATCCCCCTCTACAACTTCCTTAAAACTGACTGGAACTCTTTCCATGATTTTCTTCATGTAGGAATCTTTTGTCTTCCTGTTGACAAACATACTTTTTCATAACTTCATGGATTCAGGCTGGCATTGGAATCTTTTATTCCCTCTCAACAATTCCATGGTTTTC